TTTTTTGCCGGACTTGTAAATGACAGTAATGTCATATTCTTGAAGTCTCAGGCTCCATCGTGCGAGGCGACCTGAAGGGTCCTTCAAAGTGGCTAGCCAACACAAGGCGTGGTGGTCGCTTACAACTTTGAAGGGCCTGCCGTAAAGGTATGGGCGAAATTTCGACGTAGCCCAGATGATGGCGAGGCACTCCTTTTCTGTTGTGGAATAATTTGCTTCTGCTTTGGATAGCGATCGGCTGGCGTAACTAATAACCCTTTCCAGTCCGTCGGCCCTCTGCACAAGAACGGCGCCAAGACCTACGCTGCTTGCGTCAGTATGTATTTCTGTCTCGGCGAATTCGTCGAAATGGGCAAGTAACGGAGGCGTCTGGAGGCGATGTTTAAGCTCCTGGAAAGCGTGTTCCTGTGGCGTTTCCCACTTGAACTCCACGTCGGCCTTCGTAAGGTTAGTGAGAGGATCGGCGATGCGGGCGAAGTTTTTCACGAACCGCCTATAATAGGCGCACAGGCCCAGAAATCGGCGCACGGCTTTCTTGTCAGTGGGCGGCGGGAATTCGGCGATAGCGGCTGTTTTCCGTGGATCAGGACGAACTCCAGACTTGCTGATAACGTGCCCCAGAAACAAGAGCTCTTCATACGCAAATCTGCACTTTTCTGGCTTCAGTGTAAGTCCGGAAGTCTTGATGGCTTGAAGTACAGCTTCAAGGCGCCGAAGATGCTCGTCGAAACTCGAGGAAAACACGACGACGTCGTCCAAGTACACAAGGCAAGTCTGCCACTTCAATCCTGCCAGTACTGTATCCATAACGCGTTGAAAAGTTGCAGGCGCTGAGCAAAGGCCGAAGGGCATCACCTTAAACTCGAAGAGGCCGTCCGGTGTTATAAACGCCGTCTTTTCTCGGTCTCTTTCGTCGACTTCGATTTGCCAATAGCCAGTCTTGAGGTCCATTGACGAAAAGTACTTGGCGTTATGGAGCCGATCAAGTGCGTCGTCTATTCGTGGGAGAGGATACACGTCCTTTCTTGTGATTTTGTTCAGGCGGCGATAATCGACGCAGAAACGTAGGGTCCCATCCTTTTTCTTCACTAACACCACGGGGGATGCCCATGGGCTCTTGGACGGCTGGATAATGTCATCCCGCAGCATTTCATCAACTTGTCTCTTCATGGCCTCACGTTCTCGCGTCGAAACCCTGTACGGACTCTGACGGAGTGGTCTGGCATTTTCTTCGGTTATGATGCGATGCTTCGTGATTGGGGTCTGCCGAATTTTCGATGACGACGAAAAGCAATCTTCGTATTGCAGAAGCAGGGCCTTGAGCTGCTCTTGCTTATCGTTCGGAAGTCTGGGATTGACGTCGAAAGCTATGGGAGGGGCTTGGTTCCTCTGAGCAGGTTCCGCAGAATCGGCGAGGGCGAAAGCACTGGTGGCTTCGACAATTTCTTCGATGTATGCGACCGTTGTTCCTTTGTTCACATGTTTATACTCATTGCTGAAATTTGTGAGCATAACTGTTGCTTTGCCTCCCCGCAACTCTGCAATTCCTCTTGCGACGCAAATATTTCGGGTGACCAACAGATGCTGATTGCCTTCAACGACGCCTTCGAAGTCAGGTGATTCAGGAGCGCCGACTGAAATAATGACGCTTGAGCGAGGCGGAATGGTGACTTGTTCTTCCAGCATATTCAAGGCATGGTGTCCAGACGGCGTGCGCGGCGGTAGTGCTTCTTCTGTGGATAACGTTATCGACTTTGTTTTTAGGTTGATGACAGCACCATGGAGGCATAAGAAGTCCATGCCAAGGATGACATCTCTCGAGCAACGCTGTAGGACTACGAAGTCTGTTGGATAAATACGGCCGTTAATGGTGACTCTCGCTGTGCAGATTCCTGCAGGCGTTACGAGATGACCTCCGGCTGTGCGGATTTCAGGGCCTTTCCAAGCTGTCCTAACTTTCCTTAACTTCGCGGCGAACGACCCACTGATGACAGAATAGTCGGCTCCAGTATCGACGAGAGCGGTCACACTGTGGCCGTCGATAAAAACGTCGAGGTCGCTAGTTCGCCGTCTCGCATTACAGTTAGGGCGTGGCGTCGGGTCACGGCTGCGTCGGCTTGTTCCGCTGCTTGCATGTTTCGTCGTCAGGCCACCTTCGGTAAGTGAGCTTTCGGCATCAGGGCTTTGCCTGGTTGGCCTTGTGTTCGGAAAGCTCCGTCGCGGCGTCGTCGTCGTCGGAGGATCTTCGGTAGTTCGTCGCACAGCAACCGCACCTCCACCGGTTGCTGCCCTTAGTTTCCCGGATACGGGCTAGGAGACCGGCCCCGCATTGGGCCAGAGTACTGTCGGTGGTGCGGTGACGTGCGGCGGCTGGGCGACGGCGAACGCGAAGGGCTTCGTGGTGTCCACCGAGATCCTGTCAGGTAGTCGGCGATGTCACGTGGTCGTTCTCCTGGCTGTGGGCGCGGTGCATTGACGGCGAAGCCACGCAATCCCATCTGTCGGTACTGGCAACGGCGGTATGTGTGTCCGGCCTCGCCGCAGTGGTAGCAGAGCGGGCGATGGTCAGGGGTGCGCCAGACGTCAGTCTTCCTCGGTGCACTGCGCTGGGCCGCTGGCGAACGGTATGACGTCGGTGGGGGTGGTGGCGGCGGTGGCGTCTGTCGACGGAAGTGCGATGGGGCGGCGGTTTGGCGTGGACGGGGAGGAGCGTTGTGGCGCAGTGCAGCGGCGTAGCTCATAGCTTCCGGCTCGGGCAGCGGTGCGTGGGGAATTTGAAGCGATTGCCGAACTTCTTCTCGCACAATGTCGGCGATCGAATCCACTTGAGGTTGCGCCGAAGGCAACAGTTTTCGCAGCTCTTCCCGCACGATCGCTCGGATCATTTCACGCAGGTTGTCGGAGTCACTGGCTTGAGCAGCAGCGCACTCTGGAGTCAGGCAACGATTATACTGTCTGGTGCGCATGTCCAGGGTTTTTTCGATGGTGGTCGCCTCGGATACAAATTCTTGGACGGTGTTCGGTGGATTCCTCATTAGTCCCGCGAAGAGCTCCTGTTTGACTCCTCGCATGAGGAAACGAACTTTCTTCTCCTCAGGCATGTCTGGGTCAGCGTGACGAAATAGGCGGGTCATCTCCTCTGTAAAAATTCCAACCTTTTCGTTTGGTAGCTGTACCCGGGTCTCTAGTAGAGCAGCGGCCCTCTCTTTGCGAGCGACGCTCGCGAACGTTTGAAGGAATGCGCCGCAGAAAACATCCCACGTTCGGAGCGTGGACTCCCGATTTTCGAACCAGGTCCTTGCGGTGTCTTCCAAATAGAAGAACACACGACGCAGCTTTTCTTCATGGTCCCAGTGGTTGAGGGTGGCCACACGGTCGTATGTCTCCAGCCAGGACTCCGGGTCTTCGAACGATGACCCATGGAAAATTGGTGGTTCCCTGGGTTGATGCATGACCATCGTGGGCTGGGACGCTGCGGTTGTCATTGTCGCTGCAGTCGCGGTCATGGCCTTCGTCTTCCGCGCCTTGTCTGGTAGAAGCCCGTACTCCGGTGGTAGCCCTTGCTGTCGGCGGCTTGTTCGCTGCTCCTGGTTGGTGTCGGTGTCTTCTCCGCGACGTGGGCTGGGTTCACGGCTTGACGGGGGCGTCCGGTACATGAACGAAGCAGCACCTCCACCAGATGTCACGGGGTCGTGACGTGGCCGAAGACAGGGGACTTCGTGTTAGGATTTAACTGTTTATTTGGGCGAACCTGTGCCCGGTAAACTGAAAGTCCAATTACAGCAGCAGTCTCGCACAGATAGCAGTCTCGGACTGATAGCGGCGAACGGAGCGTCGGCCTTCGATCAACAACTGACAAGCGGCGAAGCGCGTCGGCATTTATACCCTTGCCGTCGAATGTTCTAGCGCTATCGCTGGCGGCGGCGTGCGTTCCAGAACAATCTGTACCATTCGCACAGTGGGCGTGATCTTATCGAAATGATCTACTACAGTCCGGAACCCTCTAGAAAACTACAGGCGCGGTTTGCGCTGAGAATCGTGTGGTGTTTTGGGACGATAACAAAAACTTGGGAAATGGAACGTGGCAATATGTTGGAGTTAGACAGTGTCCGGAATATCACCCCTGAAGGCTCGCTCGCTGGATTCCGTGCCGACCGGTTGTGCCCTCGCGATCTCCGACGACAGCATAGCTCTGGCCAACTGGGTTGGTCCTACGCCAACTCCTGCCGCCGGTCCCCTACGACGACGACAGCATAGCTCTGGCTGACTGGATTAGCCCTAAGCCATCTCCTGTCGCCGACAAGAGCTCTCGCCAGTGGTGCCCCGTCCTCAGACTTCTACAGCCGTGTCCTTCTTTCCTGTGTTCTCCTTACTTCCGTCGCTCCCTGTCCCACCACTTCGCTCTCTCCTTCCTCTCTCTCTAGCTCTCTATCTTTTACTCCTATCCTTTTATTCCCTTCTCTACCCCCTTGCCTCGTGAGCTACTGTTGAGGTGTCCTGCCCCTGGGACACAGTTACGGGGCTCACTTTTCTTTTTTTCTTTTTATTAAAATCACTCCCCCCCTCCCCCCCCAATGAACATTTCGGTGACCGTCACCGGCTTTGTAAACGTTGAATGACGCTGGCGTACGAAACGCCGGCGAAAACACTGAATATAGATCGGCCTTTACGTCGCCCTATGTTGACACTGCCCTTTACGGAAGCAGAGCGGTTTTACGCCCTTCACGATCGCAGAGCGTTTTCACGCAACTATTGCGCGACCTTCGCACATTTATTTCGCTGCAGTATTGGCACACTCTCCGCGCAAGTTTAGCGCTTCACTCACACAATGAGTGCGATAATTTATAAAGCGTTAGTGCGTAAATTTTACACACGGAAGCGGGCGGGCAACGTTCGATGTAGCCAAAAACACATCAGTCTAACGTAACGGTCGAAAAAAGTTGGGAACACTTCGCAAACTTTTGGGGCGAACACTTCCCGAACCGTCAAAGCGTACACGAATGGCCCTGGAGGCGGTGACCGGGGAAGTGAGTTCGCCGCGCCGGGATGACACGAAACTGCGGGCTGCGGGTTTTGGCACGACGGACCAGCCTCCACGCGTTCCATCGATTTCCGATACAATTATCGGTATGTGCTGTGCCAAATGTAATGACTTTTTTTTTCGGCTGAATACGGGCGAAACTCTGGCATAGGAGGCGAGAACTCGTGTCTCACACACTGATCGACGTTTTATCCTATACTTTGAGTGATTTGTAGAAGTATTTTTATTTATTTTATTTTTAACATATCAGTATATTTTCATTTGTCAGTGTCGTTTATAGAGCTCGATTTACACGTTCGATCAAATTATTGCCGCCTAACAACCTTTCTGGCAAAAAAGGTTTTATTTCCAACCAGAGAAATCCTATTTCCTTTCGTTATTGTTGCAATACAGGGGCACGTCTTGAGGCTTACATTTCCTTTAATGCGATCGCAATTATAAGGACACTGTCCGTGGTTTTTTTCATTGTTGTCAGGTTTTGATGTTTCGCGCCCAAGCACGCACACACTCACACGCACACACACACACAAGAGACAGGAAAGCGCGCGACAGCCCCTTACGGAAACGCCATACATGGCCCATATATAGGTTATATGTGGCCACGTATAAGCTTATATGGCAGCATATGTGGCCACATATAAGCTTATATGTCAGCATATGTGGCTTCTAATTACCATATATGGATGTATATCTGGCGGAGTCGGTTCATGTATGGGGCGGTTAGAGCCTGTGACTCCTCGCTCTGCAGCGTGCCGCTAGACAGCTTTGTTACGTAGCAAACATCCTCGGGAATTCTAACGGCGAGCTATAGTCATATACACCGTTTACTGCTGGCGATACGCAGACCTCGAAGCTGATTCAGCGTGCCTATCGTCATCGGCGCGATGGCGCGAAGGGCCTGCTTCAAATTAGTTTCGAATGTCGTCGCTCCGCTCGTGTTTTGCATGCAGGAGTTGGGATGCGGGTGCGCCTCGTGTCTGTACCGTGACTGGCATGGCGTGGTCGCCCGCGCTTAACCCGCGAGTGAAGAGGTTTGTACGTCTTGCGCTTTCACTCCGATGTTGGCGTTGACGCTAGACCACACGAAGGTACCTTCACTCGCTACAGTGGCCACGTTCTCGAAAGCAGTAAGCTGTGAGCTAAAAGGAAAACAAAAAAAGAAGAGCTGAAGTATGGGCTATTTCGTCTGTGTTTAGTTTCCACTTTCAGCGCGCTGCTCAAACAGAAATCGTAACAACTGTGACAGTCGCTATAGTTCGTGCTCGTTCGTCCTCTGTGTACATGTGCGTTCTTCCCTTGCGTTCTTTGCGTTTTAGCAGCGCGCTGCAGGTGCAGCAGTGATAGCTGTTATTTTGTTATGGACCTGTGTGTGTCTTTGCGTACGTTGTTTTGTGCGTGAGCAGCTCGCTCCAAGTTCCAAGCTGCAAGTTCGCGAGAAGTTCGTGCTTGTTCATCCTGTGTGTACATGTGCGTTCTTTCCTTGCATTCTTCTTTACGTTTTAGCAGCGCGCTGCAGGCGTAGAGTTTTTAGATGTGTTAGTTTGTTATGGTACTGTCTGTGTTCTTTGCGTACGTCGTTTTGTGCGTGAGCAGCTCGCCCCAAGTTCCAAGCTGCAAGTTTCTTAGAAGTTCGCGCTTAATTGTTCGTGTATGTGCGTTCTTACCTTGCGTTCTTTACGTTTTAGCAGCGCGATGCAGGTGTAGAGCTGTGACAGCTTTAGTTTGTTATCACTCCGTGTGTGTTCTTTGCGTACTTGTTTTTTTTTTCTTTGCGTAAGCAGCTCGCTCCAAGTTTCAAGCTGCAAGTTTCCTAGAAATTCTCGCTTAATTGTTCGACCTGTGTGTTTGAAAAAAATTGTTAACGATTTAGAGTACTTGGTACCCTACTAAGGGAGAGCATAAAGCCGTCCCCTGGACCTCACAGTGAAATGTGTACATGTGCGTTCTTTCCTTGCGTTCTTCTTTACGTTTTAGCAAGGCGCTACAGGTTTAGAGCGGCGACAGTCGTTAGTTTTTTCTCGTTCTGTGTGCGTTCTACGAATACATTCGTTGTGCGTAAGCAGCCTGCTGCAAGTTCAAAGCTGCAAGTTTGCCCTTGCGGTGAAGCTGCAACTATTTCTTTTTTCAACCTAGAACAAGAGATACAAAGAACGAACTTTTTTTGTACAATAAGCGACACATTTTTGAACTGGAAATCACGAGCTGTGCGTCGTTTACAGATATTCTTAGTCACACACAAAAAAGAAGTAAATACAGGCATTACCTTTTATGCATTCGCCTAACATGGTTCAAATGAGAAAGCAATCTTCGTTTGCAATAGGCTGTATTGATTTCTCCTACCACCCCATAAAGACTTCTAGAACACACGGGGTTTTGCATTGCTTCCGAGATCGGTCCACCTTTATTCAAGCGACAATCTTATGTGATGACGCCACGTTTTGTCACGCCTTAGCGACGTTATGATGACGTCAAGGCGTGATGATTTGTTGCTTGTTGCATTACTCGTGTTGACGCTGCCAACGCCCTATGGTCACTTTGCGCCTTTAATACAAGGCATTTGAAGCTTTCTCCCTTAGAAAAAGTGCACATTGACTCCTGATATATCTTGCTGCACAACATCGTGTCTTATATTTGTTGCTGTATAGCGTCCGAAAACCGGAATAGGATTATAAGAAACCCTGTAGTGGAAAGCTGCGGAAGCTTTGACCATCTCGTGGCCTTAAACGGGCACCACAATCTGAACGCACCAAGCCTCAAAAATTTGGCAATTATAGAATTGAGGACGCCGCGATAGGGATTCGATCTGCCTACTTTCTAGTCGGCAGTTGAGCAGCCAAAATGTATTCGACGAAAGAAAAGGGCGGACACGAAGAAAATGTGGTGCTCTAGAACCCACTCCGTTGACGACGTGAGTCCCGCTTCGAATTTCTTTTTCCTCTTCCTTTCTCGTCTCGCAGGAGCGGTCAAGGGGAGCGATGACCTCGGGCGTCATCACCGGCGGCAACCGGACACTGACTTCGCCCGGCGGCCTTTGCCTCGGCCTCGCCGCTCTCCTGCTGTGCGTCCCAGTAATCGTCGGTGCAGGTAGGCTGTGAACGCGTGATTTGATTGATCGATATGTGGGGTTTAACGTCCCAAAACCACTATATGATTATGAGAGACGCCGTAGTGGAGGGCTCCGGAAAGTATACTGAACAAACACGCAAATAGTCAAGCGAACATGTATATGATCATGCGTTGACAATATATTGATAGAATATTAGGTCCATGTACATGCGTGTGCTTCTTATTCGGCACGCAAGTGCTTATTCGGCTTGTAAGTGCAGGGGAATGCCCATTTCGCGCAATGTACGCCGTGGAAAAAAATTGTTTTTCAGGGGAGGGGGGGCACTAATCTGGTGTGCCAACTCCTGGCTACGCCACTGCCTTCGTGATCAGAATGGCATGTCACTCTCAGACTGCTCGCCGTTCGTGGCCGGGTAGTTTAGGGACCACACAACTTGAAATAAGTTTGCAGAACATACAATATTGGTGTGACAGGTCAGGCATGGCTTCAAAAACAAGGAAAAAACAGTAAGTCTTCGTATAAGATTCAAGAAAATACCACTAGAATATACCTACACACTGTAAGCAAAAACTATCCGAGTTTGGGGTTTTCCCGGCTCATGACCTCTGAAAACTCTCTCGGGTTTAAAATTACTACCTCGCGTAGGAGTAAAAGATGGTACATGACATAGTTTTATTACCACCTCTCAGGCAAGTAGTAAAAGGATGTCAAAATCCAGTTTTACCACTTAGGGAGTTTTCTATCACGTGATTTTTAACCTGCGTTTCAGAGTTTATTACCACGTGACTGCAAGGTGCAGCTGCTTCGGCGGCTTTTGCCCCATACCCCCCTTGTGACGCTCTCAGGGAATACTGAAGGTACGCGAAGCCCACAGATATTTTTTTGTTTTTTTTTTTTGCATCGCCGTGCCTCTGGACTGACCTCGAGTCAGCGCACTTTTACTGGAACTGGGGGCAGCATAAGCACAACAAGCGAAAACAGCATTCTTTGAACGAAAAAAAAAAAGACGGGGAGGGAGGGGGGGCTCTCAAAAGAGAAAAAAAAGAAAGAAAACCTGCTGTGGAAAGCTGTCCTACATATTTTCGCAAAATGTTGCTTTTGCTCGGCGGTGGCCTTGGAGACAGACAGTGCAAGAAGCTCGGTATCTGTGTGTCTGGTTGGGCTGATGGATCTCACGTGTTTCCTACATCACCGAGCGACCGTGCTCGTCCGAGCGCCTCCGAACCTGCACGTCGCGGATATCTCACTTCCGAGCCGAATCGCGAAGATCTGCCAGTGGTAACAAAATCAATCTGGCGTCATCGTCCGTGCTTGCCTGCTGGAGAAGCAATAAGCAAAATGCTTCACTCTGTCGTCGTCACCGAGCCGTGGCCACCAGTGACCAGTGGGAGTGTGTCGCCGGGGCAGGTGAAAGAAGCATCGCATATATTTTGTTCCACAGTAGGCGATGTCTGCATGAGTAAAGTGCTGCCCGAATTGCCCACCTCATGCACCAACTGTTCTCAAACATGTAGCACGAAGCCGATACGAGGCAGACGGAAACAACAAGAGGCTGCCCGTGAGCACGAAGAAAACCCGGATGGTGGTCTTTCGTTGGAAGATAGCGGTGACGTGTTCATTTGTGTCTGAAATGACGATGAAATTCGCACAGGATATGTGTTCTGTGATCGCCGGCTGTGTTTTATCGGATAGCCGTGCTCCTCAAAAAGGCCTAGAACGCCGTCGGTAAGCAGCTTGTATGCAGGCGTGGACCACTCTTCTACGCCCGTTGTGATGAATACGTGCTGCTACTGTGTTTGTGCACCGTCGCTGAATGAAAATCATTGAGCTACCATGCTTTGTGCGTACTTAGGTATATTTTGTGGACTTGTGCATCAGCAGTGCTAACACGCGTGGGGCAAAGAGCCCGGTGTGCCAAGCAATTATTGGATAATCAAAAAGGTGAGATCGTGTAGATTTATAATAAAAGGTTGGTGTGACATTTAGTGCCCTGCAGCCCACCTGAAGCTTACGCTTGCACCTCCAAGCGTTGTTGTTAATCGATGCAAAAAAAGAGCTCTCCTACCGGTACTACATTGCCAGTCAAAAAGTCGTGCCTATATATATACCGGATTGTCGAAGTGTAGTTGAGCAACGCGTGCAGTCTGTGCTAGAGGTGTATTATTCTGCATTTGTTGTGTGTGTGTGTTTGTCTGTATGTGAATGTATGTGTCACCAATTCTGCCGTTCAATAAATTCAATCAATTCTGCTATTCAATAAATTTGTCGACTCTGGGCGAATGCACCCGTCATTTTTTTTTTACCACCAGAAATAACTCCCAGTAATCACCTCAAAAACCTTGTGAAGGTAGTAAAAATTTACTCTCTCTATACTCGCTGAAAACCTCGCTGGGGTAAATAGTTACTACTCTCGCTACGTTCAAAAACTCAGTTAGCACGAGAGTAAATTTTTACCTCGGTAGTAGGTGGTAAAAAAAACCCAGGAAAGGTAGTGCGCTAGAGGACAAATGGTTTAACCAGTTTTTGAGGTTATTTCAGGTCATTTTTGTTTAGTGTGCACACTGGCCGCTTCATCCCTTAGAGAAGTTAAAAATTTGAAATACTTGGGTGGTAAGATTCAGGAATAATTTATTGTCGAACACACATAGTAGCAATGTTCGTTGCTCCGCCTTCCATAAACTTCGCTTTCTGAAACGCAAACTTCAAAATTCACCTGCCAGGCTTAAATTACGTAGTTATATGATATTAATTCGACCCAAGTTAGAGTACACTTGCATTACATGAGACCCACGCACAAGAGGGAGAAATAAATAAAAGGAAGAGACAGGGAGGTTAAACTAGAAGAACTAGTTTGCTACCCTGTACGGGGGTGGAGAAATAAGGGTAAGGAAACACACAAAACACAACATTAAAGTATTGGAGAGAATCCAGAGAGAAGCTGTTCAATTTATTTATTCCAAGTATAAGCGCACCAATTCTCCCGCACAGCTCATGATCGAAAATGACATTCCGCTGCTCGAAGAACGCCACCAGATGATTCGCCTATATTTTCTACAAGCATTACTTAATCAGGAATTATCCATAGACCCCGCGTTATATGTGCCCCCCCCCCCCCCTTCCCTGTTCACGAGGTGAACACGTCATGATAACACACATGCATTTTCCCCTCATTTTGCAAAGACAGATACTTACCAATATTCTTTCTTCTCTAGAGCAATGTCGGAGTGGAACTTCATGAATGAACTTTCCTAAAGTAGGAACTTTAGGAAAGTAGCCCCGCCGCAGCGGTCTAGTGGCTAAGGTACACGGCTGCTGACCGCAGGTCGCGGGATCGAATCCCAGCTGCGGCGGCTACGATGGAGGTGGAAATGTTGTAGGCCCTTGTGCTCAGATTTGGGTACATGTTAATGAACTCCAGGTGGTCGAAATCTCCGGAGCCCTCCACTACAGCGCCTTTAATAATAGTATGGTGGTTTTGGGACGCTGAACCCCACTTATCGATCAATCAAATCATCAAAACCGTCATAAATTGCTGATTACTCATGTCTTATACTTTGTACCACCGCATTCTTTCTATTTCGCGTATAAGATTGTTATTAGCTTCGCATTACCCCATTTATATATTGGTATTATGTTGCATTTCTTGTTTTTACACATTAGTGTTCCTTCTGTGTTATGTTTGAGGCTTTGTATATTGTTAGGTCTAACTGCATTGACATTTTGTATTGGACTTCCTGTTTTGTATTTATAATCAGAGCGCTTCCTGCAAGGACCGAATTGTGGTCCGCGGTGTGTTATAAATAAAAAAACTAAAATAAACAACGGAAGGGCGCGAGATAGATTAATATAGGCGTGTGGCAGAAATATTTCTCATAGAGTAATAACTGTTGGTGTTCATCGTCCCGAAACCGCTATGTGGTGTTGAGAGACGCAGAAGGGGAGGCTTCTGGAAATATGAACCACCTGGGTTTCTTCAGATGCAGCTAAATGTGCGCGTGCCTTTAGCGTTTTTTTTTTTCCTCAAACGAAAGTGCGGTTGCCGCGAACGGGATTCGAACACGTGACTTGCAGGTCCGCAGTCGGGAACGTCATCCACCCGGTGGCGAGTATTCTCCAAATAATCCGTTTTTTGCGCATAGCGTATGGTTAAGCGGTGGGAGAGCGAGAAGCCCCCAACGGGCATGAGTGGCCGACACCGTTAATTCACCGCACCTTACCAAGAATATTACGCTAGACCGCTAAGCTGCTTTCCGCAGTACGAAAATGACACACTAATAGATAAGAATTACGAAGTAAGAAAGCCTTGTTGATTATACTTCGCATAAGACATCCAGATTGGGAGAGTTGGTACGTCGCCACCGTTTTTCCTACAATAACGATAGAAGAGCACTTAAAAAGCGGACAAAGCAAGAAGCGACACGTATAGACGCTTTCAAGGTTTACAAACGCGTGTTTAGAAACAGTAGTTAACGATTCACAGCACCAGGTGCGTTACTATGAGAAAGCTGTGTGCCGGCCCCTTGATGACTTCCGGTCTTGTCCACCGACGTGCTGTAATATCATTGGTGAAGTAAAAGGGCTTTAAAAATAGCTGGCTGATTTTTTTCCCGTTTTCTTCCCTTATTTGGCCAAATATATCCTAATAAACGTTCTTTTGAGCTACATAAAAAAGGATGAAACATTCCTTTGTACTATACGCACGTTTCTTTTATGTTAAAACAAAAGACAGAGTTTTCTTACGCTTGAAAAGAAATTGAAAATGTGCTTTCAGTTCTCACGTTGGGAGCTGGTAAGTGAGGTGACTAGAGCATTTTTTTGGGTACAACGCCTGTGACCTTGAAACCGTCTATGCGGCGTTATCACCGCCGCGTGTGTCTTCATTTATTCTCTTTCGTGCACAGCGTTGTTTTGAATTTTGTGGTCTCACCTCCTTCATAGGTTAACAAGTACGTGCGGGTGTCGGAATGTCATCACTGGCGTTTTGGAATATTGTAGTTTTCGCAGGTTTTTCAGTGCG